ACCCCCGACATTAGGTCCTCGGGAATGCTTATTAAGGGTGCATGGAGTAACGTTAGATTAGTCTTGAGTTCAATGTATGGGCTCATACATAAACTAGGAACTATGCACAGATTCTTCATTCAATAACAGCTCCAGAGGTTAGAAAAGGAGTTCATGGTTTATTTGGCTGGCTTACTAAAAAGTATGAATTAAGTGAATTCACTCACTGCTATCCAGTCGATGGTGACACACAGAGACACTATAGGACAGGGTATAACTTCCCCTGCAGGTTTCTGAGACCGTCAAGGTGAAATGTCAGACCTGCCTTGGTATACTGCAGAAGCTATCCAAAGGTTCCTGAGCACACGAGAGTGGATTTATCATATTGGACCCACAGACACACCCACAACAGGGTGCCTTTTACCACAACAGGGGGTGCAAATTTGTGTAGGAAGCCTTAGAATCCTTGAAGAATGCTGTGATGGCTATTTTATGTAAGTTAAATTTGATAATAGGAGCACTGGTGGCGCACTGGCTATGTATTGGGCTGTGATCCTCAAGGTTCACAGTTCCACACCACCAATCATTCCTTGGGAGCAGGACTGGGCTTTCTACTCCCCTAAACAGTCACAGCCTGGGAACTTCACAGGGGCAGTTAGTTGTACCCTGTCCTATAGGGTTGCTATGAGCACTGACTCGATGACAGTGAGCCTGTGTTTTTTGGGTTATAGTTGACAATGGGAACTACCCAAATGAATAAGACAAAAGTACAATGGGGCTGACTGGACCCCGTGGTGGTAGAGTCACATTTAATTGACCAAGACAAGGTGGGTTTGATTACCACAATGGCCAGCAGTCACAGCCATAATCAGAATCGTCTTACTTATACAGACTTATGGTGCCCCTAGGAGTGAAACAGATGGAACATCTACTTACTTGATTTATACACGTGTTAGGAGTTCTGGGGCAAGTGAATGCCGTCCAACTTGAACCACCAGAACAGTCACAGCTCTTCAATTCCTACATTTGAGCTAACTTATAGACCTACAACCCCTTGAATGAAAGAGCCAGATCTCCTTGAGGAAGAGCCTTATTGCAAATGAGGGCAAGTTAAAAAGTACTGCTACAAAATCATACAAACTTTTCTTATACAAAATGTGAAGCTACTGTTTTCTGACATATCCTCCATCTAAGCCTACACATTTCTGAAAACAGTGCTCCCTCTCTAGCCCTCCCCTGGCAGTTCTATGCTCTGCAGTGCGTGCCACATCCAAACAGCAGTTTGGGCATGCTACGGGACTCAAATTGTATTGCTCTTAAATGTTCTTTAAGCTTTGAGGAGAAAAGGAAGTCTGAAGGGCAGTTGATAGATGGAGTAGAGTTTCCCAATTAAATTTTTACAGGACAGCCCCTGCTAACCTTGAAGAATGAGTAGGTGCACAGTCATGAAGAAGAAAAAAACTCTCAGTGCAATTTTCCTGATCATTTTCTCATCATTTACGTTTTCAATTCTCTTAAAACTTTTTTCTAATAAGCCACCATGACTATCCTGTGTCCTTTGTGAAAACCAAGATTACCTTTTTGCTACCATAACCTTTTTAGCTGGCCTCTCGGTCTTGGACTAATTCAACAGATCCCTTCGGAAGCCACTGTTTTGATTGGACCTTTTGGTGGAAGGCACCCTAACAAGACTAAGACAAGTATGTTACTAAGAACTTGTCTTCAGTCATCCACTGACTGCAGATGCATGTTCATTCTAAACAAAACTGGTTTATCAGCTTTGTTTAGCATGAACCCATGCCTATATGAACTAAAACTCTAGTAGCAAAACTTTATGTTCTTGCAAAGCTTGCCCTCTCTCAGGCCCGTGTTTGACTTGCCATCCTCTGACCTCTGGTACATGGGACATGAACCAGCAGCCTGCCACCTGGCCTGCACAACTGGGTTCATTTGCCTTTGCAAACAGGTGAGTCAGGAGAAGCCTCCAGTCTACACATGACCCAAGGGTTTTGGACTTGCTAGCTTTCATAACTGATGAGTTGTTTTCTTAAAACAAACCTCTCTATTCATTAGTAGATATATATAAATTAAAAAAATACACACTGAGGGAGCTTCTAAGAGCTTGTGAAAAATAGAACCCTCTGAACTTTTTGAAGCCCTCTTTGTGTGTGTGTGTGTGTGTACGCAAACCTTCATTTATACACATACACATGCTTATGGTATTGTGATTTTAGAGAATCCAGTCTGAAACACTGTCCAAATGATAATGCAGAGTATAGTACTCATCTTTTTGGATAAATCGGTGAGAAACTATGTGAGGTCTGGCATTTAACACAAATTCCAAGATTTGTTTGATCTGATTGGGATATTCTGCCTCTCCCTCCTACATTTTAAGAGATCCATATTTGTCATGAGCCCTGTGGGAATTATTCTCTGGTCCCAACATAGAAATCAACCTGGGTTTACAAGGGTGGTTTTAGCTCTGTTCCTCCCGAGTGTGGAACCCTGGGAAAATTCATTTCATTTTTCTGATCCTAATATTCTCCTCTGTAAAATGGGTGTAATCAAACTGTATCACAGAGTTGTTGGGAAGATAAAATGAGGCAGTATGTGAGAGCACCTAGCCTAGGGCCCAAACCACTGCACTTAAGTGTATCAACTCAATGAAGAAATAGGCTTCGAATGCAGTTAGCTCACAGAAACGACCACAACAAACCTAAGTCCTTCACTCCTAAGGCACTATCCTTGTCTGCTAACACTGCTTATTCATCCTCGTTAATACTCTAAGAAGGAGTCAGAGTGGGCTTAATGCCTCTGCTGGCTGTACTTGCTGCTGTTCTGAGAAAGCCTTCTGCCATGAACTCTCAGAACTTCTAAGAAGGAGAAAAGAGACTTAGTAGAGACCCAGATGTTGCTATCACTAACATCATGCTCAAAGCAGAATGACTTCCAATGACTTTGAGGCTCAACTTTTTGTTGTGAAATGGGATAATCATACCTACTTAAAGGAATGGTGTGGGAATTAAATTAGAATGTATATATTACTATCATGGGGGACGTGATTCTACTGCCTCTTTGCTTGGGTTTTTGTGAAAAATTCTGGCTGATCTAAAAAGCAGTCAGCAGCCTTGAGCAAGAAAAAAGGCTGAAGGCTAAATCCTGGGATTACATGTGGATAATTTAGCTTCAGACAAATGGAGGTGGTAGGAGGATACAGGAAGGAAACTTTGGCTTCAGATAAAAGAACAGAATGGATCCAAGTTAAGATAAGCAGCCAAAACATTCTCGATGACTAAGACATGCCAATGGACAAGAGATAAAGAAGGAATGACTAGGCTGGTTCCAGTAAAGGAGGGGAGGAAGCTGTCGGGAAAAGAATCAGCTGCCAGGGAACCCTGATCGCCCGTTAGAATGCAGTGTTGTTCTATCCATCGCTGGGCAGAGTAGACGACTATCATAGAGCAGTTTCTGAGGAAATTGGCTCCGAAGTTTCCACATTCCTCAGCATGAGAATGCACTGCTGTCGAGTTGCTTCTAACACATAGCGACCCTTCAGGACAGAGTGGAACCACCTTGCAAGGTTTCCAAGGCTGTGTATCTTTACAGAAACAAGACAGTCCTTTCTTTCTCCCATGTAATGGCTGATGGGTTTGAACCACTGACTTTCCAGTTAGCAGTTGAGCAACTTTAACTACATGGGAGCATGAGCATCAGCCACACCTTCCCTTTGGGAAGATTATAAAGCGGGGTCCTTTAGTGACATTAGGGGAACAGTCCTAAACACACTAGAGGGATCCAGCCTGCTGGCTTCGACACTTGCTTCCTAGCACGGCTTCCCATCTGCCACATCTGTGTCAGCATAGCCCAGGGATGCCTGTGTTGTCCGAGGAGTTGAGAAGCCTTGCCTCCTGCTGTCCCTCCATGTTTTGTGTGACTATCTATAGCTTCTGAGCACTCATCCTCTCCACGGCTGTGGGAAGTGCACGATGACTGGGCAGCAGTGTCGTGACATAATACTGTTCACACCTAACATGCTGGGGGTGATGGGGCGCTCAACTCCATAGCCCAGGGGCCACTGAGAACCCACACCAATATTCACATGGGCTCCATGAGAAAGTCTTGGTCACTACTGTATCCCTAGTGAGGGAACAGAGTAGGTACTCAGTATTAATTGTAACAGCAAATTATAATGCTCCCTCTCTTCCATATATTATATAGACCACCAGCAGCTGCTGTGATTAGAAGGGTTAACTTTTTGAGAAGTCTTATTACTGTGATGTTAACTAGCATCCTGCCTACTCCCTGGGCGAGGGAGACGGCAGGCCTCCTGTCGGGGGAGAAGGTACTCTGAAAGCACTCTAAATTTTCTTCTGGCAGAGTGGCTGAGGCCTTCTCCCAGGAATGCAGATGCCACATAGAGAGCTTAAGCAGAGGTTGTAAATTGGTGGTGGCTTCTACCCCATATCTGGCTTATAAAAGAGCTTGGTTCACATAGGATTAAACATTTCTTAAAATTAGTCACACATTTAAAAATCAGAGCTTATACAAATCACTTTCCAGATTCTCTCGAAGAACTGAAAGATAAGAGAACACTAGCGAGAGTCAACTAGATGGGTCACACATGCTCTGGTGGGCCACACCCCTTCCTGGCGCTCTCATTGAGCTTTCCTATCTAGCTCCTATAGGCACCCGTGTATGAGAAGCCTGCTTTGGAAGATTTAAGGAGGAAAGCACAGCCTTAGTTGGTCAGGGAGCCAACCCCTGCTCCAACCACCCTAGGTGTCTGCTTTGGGGCTAAGTGGGGCCCTCTCACCTGATGAGTCAGTGACAGCTGGGTCTGCGAGCCGCCCATAGTGTGCCATGAGTTTGAGCTTGGTCTCTTGTTTCCTGTGTTTCTTGCCCACATAATGTTGTTGAGCCATGACAGGATCGTTGAAAGTCGCATGGCAGAGGCTGCAGAACTTGTCTGGATCGATCATGTCTCTGTTCTGGTGCAAGGCTAAGGTGAAGGCCACAAGAAAAGGGTTTGTAAGGCATTTCAAAAGAGCTGTGGTGAGAGTTCAGACAGAAACAATGAAAAACCCTGAAGGTGTCTGGTTTTCGAATATGCTGAATGGAAATGAAGGCTGGTGCCATTAGTTAGTCACGCTTGCAGATGTTGTCTGTGTGAATCACACAATGAACGCCTCCTCTAAGTGGGGAAACTGGGAAGATATGGGGGACCCCAAAGCCCAGCTATTCTGGTCAGCAGCTTTACCTACTGTAGGCCCAAGTCCTGACTGTCTCATAGCCTGAGGAGACTGAACATCTGCCATCAAGCTGCCAATGCACAACAGAGTGGGGATTTATCTACTTGCAGCCTTGCTGTCTCTCACAATCCCTGGAACTTGACAGAAAGTGGAAAAATTTGGCTGTTTTATTCTTATCCTCAAAGTATGCTAGTGACAGAGAGATAATGCAAACATGTAGAGAGCTGGGGCCTTGGAGGCCAGTCATTTAGAGAAGGCCTCTGCACTAAGGACAGCTGTGTGTGCACACCACCTTCCAGGTTAAGGGAGGGAGAGCGCAGGGTGACATTAACATTTACTTATATGCTCCAAACCCGTATCTCTCCCTTGGCCCTCATCACCACCTTGAGTTTGGTATCATTTTGCCACACTAGAGAAAACCTCAACAGGAAGTGACTTGCCTAAAATGACTCGCTAATGAGTGACCCAAGGTGTATGCGGTCTTTGCTGTGCCAGAGTATGGCAGGGAGACCTGGGAAGCTCCAGCCCCTGCTGCCACCTTCAGAAAACATCCTTGGCTCCGGTCAAGGAGCCTGGCTAATGACAGCCTGGTGGGGGCACGTGTGTGTGCCTCCTGTGGGGCAACTCACTTGCTGAGGCTGCGCCTGGACAAAGGGAACACTGCAGTGGACTCACGAGTCTCAGGAGCTGGGGTGGAGGGCTCGGCAGCGCCCCAACAGGAGCGAGCACAGTCTGTTCAGATGCGCTCGCATCTCTGTGTCACTGCAGGGGGGGCTCTGGAGAGTCCCAGTGAGTCAGAAGGAACTTTCTTTTCCCGATGAGCTTCCAGCATAGGGTGTCTCCATTTTCCTGGCCACTGATATTTGTTTCAGCAAATTATTTGCAAAGTAATGTGCATGCTGCAGAATATTTGATATTAGAAAATATCCAGTATGTATTGAGTGAAAAAAAGGAGGTTGTAAAGCAATGTTTCTTACAGCCATCATTTTGTGTAACAACAAAAACCACACGTTATGTATGCATGGAAAAAAAGACCAAATGTAGACAGTTAAGGAGTGTTTTTCTGTATTTTCCAGTGTTTCCCAATGAAGTTTTTCTTTTTGTATCAGGAAAGGGGGGCAACAGCAGGATTTATGCGGTGAAAGTCCCGACTAAACCCTTTGAAAGACGCGGCAGAGAAGCACCTGAGGTACAAGACTGAGCTACTAGGCGTCCAATGTAGATGAGAGCTGTAGGAGTCTTAGGAAATAGTGTCTAGTCGGTGTCGTGTTATTTGTAACACTAAAGAGAGAAGTGGGGGAAATGGTCAACATCGGAAAAACAGCTAACTACAGTCTAATGAGTCTAATAAGAAGTTATGGTCATTACAGATGTTTATGAAAACAATGTTTAACATGGGAAATGTTGTATTAAATAAAAACAATATAAATGATATGTGCAATAAGAGTATACCATTGTTAAAAGGGAGATGTGTACACTGGTAATTTCAAAGTCACAAGCATAATATTAACTGTTTCCCTATGGAGGATCTGGGTGACACGTGACTTTCTACTTTGAATCTCTAGCATGATTTGAAGTAGAGTTATTCATAATGAACCCATTTTTAGAAAAGCAATAAAGTTATTTAAGGTAGTCTGTGCTCAAATGTAATATATAGATTTAATCTAAGTATATATAAAATAAGCAAACACACACACACACCCAAGAGACTAAAGGAGAAATAGTATTCCAAAAGGTTAATAGTGGTTATCTATGATAATGATAAAATCATGGGTGATTTTTCTTTCTATTTACATACATTATGTTTTCTACCACATGCTTTTTATCACTTTTACATTAGAAAAATAATATCTAATTTCAGACGTATAGGCATAATTGCTATGGTAACATGGGAATGGGCTTAAACTAGAAAATTAAAAAAATAAATAGAAAAGGGTATGTGCATTACATAAAAACTTTTCTGCGTGTGACAGAGGGCAGAAGTGAATCTAGCAAACAACCTGAGTCTGGAGTCTGGCACTGCACATAGTCGATGAGCAGGGCATTCTGGGGCATATTCCTTTCTCATCTGTGCAAGGGTAAGTTATTAAACTAGCTTTCCTTGGCCTAATGCTTTAATCTTTTCTGAACTATCATGGCTAACAGAAGCAAGCAGCACTATTATAACTTACGGTAAGCAAGTCTGACTACTACCATATTTTATGGGGGGTGGGGTGGAAAAATGGGGAGGGGAAGGATTCCATTAACTGACATTAATGACGGTGATAATAATCATAGTGGCTGTCATTTACTGAGCATTTTTTAGGAGTTTATATACATCTGGTCTCAAACCTATCAAGTAAAGAATAGTATCTACATTTCATAGGTGAAGAAACTCAAACACAGAGAAGTTAAGCTACAAAGATGGTAAATATCAGTGCTAGCATTTAAAACTGATTCTCTGACTTCAAAGCCCATTTCTGTTGTCTCATAACTAGATTTGGATAAGAGTAGTGGTATAATTATGAGTCATTTTTTACCCTGTCTTCAAAAGTTTTTCAAAACATTTATGCTTTGGAGTGCCAATTTATAAGAAAAGAATAAGAAGTAGTATATGTCTTGGTCCAAAGCAAAGAGAGAAGCAATAATTATGAAAAATTAGATAGAGATCAAAGAACTTACATTTGCAGAAATTTCAAATCACTAATTGCAGTCGGTAAAGGTTCAAACCCCCAGAAAGTCAGGAGTTAGTGAGATGAAAGTGAGCGCTGAGCCTCAATGGTGACAAGATAAAGGGACTATGTTAGCAGTTGCTGCATTGAGAATGAATTCACACAGCTGCACGCATTGCTTGCTGGGCAAGAGTAGCAGCACTTAAGTATTTAGCTTTGAAAGGCAAGTCTCTTGTCTTGAGGAGAACAGGTGGTTATTGAGGATAAAAGTGAACAAGCATAACCTTAGCACTTGAAAAAGACAAGGATTTAGCTTTCAACTGGGAACACATGGTGCTAAGGGCAAGGGGTTGCCGGGAGGAAAAAAACATCTAAGTGGGAAAGGTAGAAAATTGAACGCTCTCCCCGTGCACAGCCTGGAGGTCTTCGCACTCCTGGGTTATAATTATTAGGACAAAAAAGCTCGGGGCTAAGAAAATTGATGTAAGCCAAGAAAGGGAGGTGAGGTGAGCACAATTTTGAGGCTACATTTCAATGTAGCGGGGTCAGCTTTGATATTTTTTATTGTTTCTCGAAAGCAATTCAACCTCTCCAAGTCTGTGGCCCCAAGGAACCTTTCTGAGAGCACCCGGCACGTACAGCACTACTCAGGAAAACCAGTACCTTCCACCTTAGTGGATTGCTGCTTCAGCTTTAAGTTCTTTGCGTGGGTCTTCCCCAGGTAGTGCGACTGGGCCACGACCGGGGAGGAAAAGGTCATGTTACAGGTGGGGCAGCACTGGTTCTTGTCTTTGCTTCTGCTGCTCTTCTGGGTGGGAGAGAGAACACAGGTCTGATCATGCCACTGCCCAGCCAGAAAATCCTCAATGGTTCCCCACTACCCACAGGATAATGGGCATCCAAGGCCCTTTTAAAAGCTGACCCCACCTACTTTTCTGGATTAGTCTTCAACTACCTTCCCCCAAGCTCTACTTGTCACTCATTCTGTTCTCTGACACCTCCTGCTGCCTAGAATGCTTTCCCTTCCTCGCTGCCTAGTACATGCCTGCTTAGCCGTCAAGGCCCTGTTTTAAATATCACCTCTTTCTAGAGAGCTTCAGTCAAGAAAATCATTCAGCAAGCAAATTACCGATCAACTGCTTGATTCCAGGTAGAATATATCTTGCATCTCCTCCATACCCCTAGAGTACTGTACATTGATCTCTAGCATACCACATACCACCCTATAACTGCCATTGTCATACCTTATGAGGCTTTTCTGTGAACGAAAGGCCGTGTGTGGGCCCAAACTGGCTTGACTTGTCTAGTTCCTAGCCCTAGCAGTCTGAGCCTAGCACATAGGAAACTCTACCTCAGGGTTTGTTGAGTAAGCAGAACACTGCGGTTTATTTGTTAATTAATAGATTAGAAAACAATGTATTTCAAGCCCATACGGAGGGCTTCTAAAACTCTGTGAAATGTCTGGCCTCTGATGATGGTATTCACTCTAATACAAGGTTTCTTAATCTTGGCATTATTGACATTTTGAGCTGAGTACTTCTTGGTTGTGGGCTGTCTTGGACATTGCAGGATATTTAGCAGCATTGCTGGTCTCTGTCCACTAGATGTCAGTAACACAGCTTCAAACTTGTAACAACCAAAAATATGCTGCCAGATGTTGCCAAAGGTGTTCTAAGGGTAAAAATCATCCCCTATTAATAATCACTGCTGTAAGGTAATCATTTACCTAGATCAGTTAGGAGAGTGAAGGTTTGATATTAACAACCCTGTGATATTGACATATACACGATTATACTTTTCATAATCCTTCCACATATAGGGCTTAAAAAAAAAATCCATGGAAAAATTCCATCATCACATATTCCATTTTCCATGACCTTTTTAAGAGTTTTACTGGCATATAATTCACAAGTCATACAATATAATTCAGTAGTTCACTCATTTTAAGAGCTGTACAATCATCACCACAATCAATTTTAGAACATTTTCTTTGTTCTTTTAAAAAATCCCCTCCCGTGGTCTCCGGTGAACCACTTGACCACTTGAGCTGACTAGTGATAAACGGGACTCGTATCTTCCTGAAGTCTACTCATCAGGACCTCCAGAAGATGGCTCTAGAAAACCTGTAGAAGAGGAGCGCAAGGCCCCTCCACACCTGTGGCCACTGTACAGGAGGCAGCCAAGGGAAAGTAAGCTCCTATTTGCTGACACCTACTGAGAACTGGAAGTTTACCACTCAATACCCTTCAGCGGATAAGGGTTGTCAGCTTCATTGTAGGGAGGTAACGCAGTCACCTAATTGATAGGTTGCAAGGCCTATTCTGCTAACTTCTCGTCCCATGATTTTTATATAGCCTCTCAAGGAATAAATATAATTGTACTCCTTGAGGGCTGGGGAATCATTTTAGTATGTCCTCATACTATTTCTGAGTCAACAACCATCTCAATCAGAGCACGTGTTTTGGAAAGGTGTCCTTTGCACTTATTTATTCAAAACACCCATGTCCTAAACCTGGCATTTCCCCTTGGATCTCATGAAAGGAAGCATCCTCGGTTCCTTTCCCTTTGTCTCTTGGAGCAGTGAAGGGGAGCTTCTTGTCCTGCTCAACAAACCACTGGACTCCATTTACTAAGCCCCTACTATAAGAGGGCTTCAAAAAGCTCATGGAAAAATTGAACTAACATATAATGAAACATTGCCACAAACTTTAAAAAGCCCCAGATGTGGGTAGGCTCCATGTTGCGTGCTTTTTATAAACCCTCCCTCATTTTAGTTTAAAGGTATTATCCTCCTCATTTTTTGTGAAGGAAGAATTGAGGTCCACATCACACAGCAGGGCCAAGATGGTCTGACTCCAAAGGCCATGCTCTTTCCACCACATTGACCTGCCTGCTGGCCTCACCAGGAAGCAAGCGGTCTCAATGTGGCAGCTGTATTACCTGATCTGAGTCTAGCTTCTTCGTTTCCCCCTTTAATGTCTCCATTCCATGGATTGCTAGGTATCTCTTCACTTTGTTGGCATGTTTTTTGCTCTGCAAGAACCCAGGAAAAAGATCAAAGATAGCCAAATTCCATTTCAAACCTAAGGCACTCAAAACACTTAATAGATTTTCATCTGGTTCCTCTGCACAACAACTTTGAGGAGAAGAGGGTGGGGAAGGCACCTAATTAACTGAGTTCCTATTCTGTGCCAGGCACTTTACATGTTGTCTAATCTAATCTCCATCAAAAATCTATAAAAAAATGACCATCTGAATCTTACAAATGAGAAAACTGAGGCTGAAGATAGTGCAGGGTTTCTTGCCCAAGATGAATACACACAAGTCTATTTAAAGCCAAAGTTCATATTTCCTACTATCCCAAGCCACAAGGTAAGCTATGAGTATAATGGTTCTAATTTTGATGGGCGAGATGAGTCTCACAGAAGTTACATCAACCTTCCAGTCACAAGCCAACATGCATGGAGGTAATGACTGGGCGCCTAAGAAGTGCTCACCCTTCCCTGTGTAAGCCAGGGAGGGAGAAGTTGGGGGTCTGGGAAGCAGAGCAGTTCTGGCAGTCCGGAGGCATACCTACCTGGTAATGGGCCAGTTTCTGGGACTCCGAAATGAGCAAGGCACAGCAAATCTTACACTGGGTGTTGGTGAAGAGACACTGGTTCTTCTGGATCATGTGCTCCACTACACAGGGGAAAATAAAATATTTGAATTAATAAACACTTGCTTAACAGCACAGCACAGAACCATTGCCACACTATTGTGTCAGTAAATTCAGTCACCTACCCTTACTGCCTTAATGGTTCATGTTATGTTCTTCTCATACCACTAATAAAACCAAACCAATTGTTGAAGAGTTACTGCCCCTGATTCAAGGTTACCTGTGTGTTTCAGTGCAGAAGTGTGTTCCACAGGACTTTCAATAACTGTGGCCTTTGGAAATTCTGTATTTTCATGGAAATAATGTAGACTAGAATTGTTTTCTTTTCTTTTCTTTTTTTTAGAAACCACTAATTTCTAGTCACACACTCCTGGCCAATCATGAAGCTGTACACATGGATGCAAAAAGACCCAGGGGAAAGTAAAAGCCAGGGCAGATTTACATGGCCCAAACTCTGCATGTGCTGCCCTATTCATATACAGATCCAATGGCAGAGGACAGAAGCTTTACTGGGTCCACGTGTTTGCAAACAAACTCTGCCAAATCACTGTCAAGCAACAAAGACACTGAAAAACAAAATAAACCAAACCTACTACCACTGAGTTGATTCTGACTCACAAAGATCTTAGAGGCCAGAGTGAACTGCCTCAGGTTTCCAATTGTCACAGGAACAGACTGTCACAGCTTTCCTGAGTGCTGGCCAGCTCAAACCGCCAAGTGGAATGCTTTAATGAATGCATCACTCTAGCTAGGATTATAGATGCAAGGAGACAGAACTTATTTAGAAGAACCATATGCTATTAAAGCCATGTAAACGATTTTGACTTTCGTGAGCTCTCAAGCTGAGGGAAGCCCATTCCAAGAATGACGACCACTTGAAAAGCCGAGATGAGATGGGGAGAGAGATGCCTGGCCAGCCCCATCATAAATGACTCTGAGTCAGAATTATTCAGCCAAGTCATTACTGAATTCTTGGCACATAAACGCCATGTGAAGTTTATGAGGTTAGAGGAAGCTGAGCTGTATAGAATTATCAGAGGAATAAAAATATCAGTGTACAGGCAACTGACTTTTGATAGGGGCCCAAAAAACATCAAATGGGAAGCAGATGCCCTCTTAAATAAGTGGTGCTGGAAAAAATGGATATCTACCTGCAGAAAAAGAAGCAAGACCCTTATCTCACTCCATGCACAAGAATAAACTCAAGGTGGATCACAGACCTTGAGGTAAAACCCCAAACTATTAGGGCTATTAATGAGGGAATTGGGACAAACCTGAGAACTTTGGTACAGGGAATACATAGGCTATTGGAAATAGGGAAGGATACAAATACAGAGCAGTCACAAATAGAAAAGTGGGATATACTGAAGATAAGTCACCTGTGTACATCAAAATAATTCACCAAGAGAGTAATAATAGCCCACAGACTGGGAAAACATCTTTAGCAATGACACATCAGACAAGGGCCTTATTACTAAAATCTACAATACTTTGCAAGCTTACAATAAGAAAAAAACTAACTGCCCACTAAGGAGGTGGGCAAAGGATCTGAACAGAAGTTTCAGAGGAGCAGAAATCTGAATAGCCAATAAGCATATGAGAAAATGTTCCCAATCATTAGCCATAAGAGAAATGCAAATTAAAACAAGTATAAGATACCACCTAACACCCTCAAAGATAGCTCAATTCAAAAAAATCAGAAACTAACAAGTGTTGGAGGGGTTGTGGGGAGATAGGAATGCTCGTCCACTACTGGTGGACCTGTAGGTATGTACAGCCACTTGGAAATAGACTTGGCGATATCTAAAACAGATGGAGATGGAGCTACCATATGACCCAGCAATCCCCCTACTGGGCATATACCCAGAAGAGGCAAGAAACAAACCACAGCCAGACATCTGTGCTCCAATGTTCATCGCGGCACAGTTCACAATTGCACGGAGTTGGAAACAACCCCAATTTCCATCAACAGACGAATGGATCAAAAAACTGGTACATACATACAATGTGCATGAAGCACATTGCCACACATGGGAAGAACTGGAGAAAATCATGCTAAGTGAAGTAAGTCAAGCACGAAAGGACAAGTACAACGTGAGTCCACTGAGGTAAGCTTCAACAACAACAACAAAAATGGGGCATAGGGGAAAAGCTCTATATAAATACATCCCTGGGGTGAGGTCCAGCAACTTTGGCAGGGGCCAAACCCAATCCAGGGATACATATGGCAGCTAACTAAATAAGAGGGGGAAAGAAAGAG